GCTGATTTTTTTTTTTAAATCGGTAGAGTTGTTGCCATCCAGTGGCAATATGTCCTGCCATTCAGCTCAGAGTTGGGAGAAGAGAAGAATGCATATTTTTCTCAAGGGGATTTGTGCGTAAGTGAATATAAGAAACCCGACTGGAATTCGAACACGGCTCTCAGATTTCTCATTCCGTGTCGTTGTCACCCCATCACACATCCACACAGAATGCATAAGAGTAAATCAATATTGAACAATCAAAACAGAAATTGCTACACCTCACAATTGTATAGAATAATTTACTTATCGATGTAGTAAAATCTCTAGCCACACCAACGATGGAAAAACCAAGTAATGCCTTGGACAATTCACCTTTACAGTCGAGTTCTGGACGTCTAGACAACATGAAAAATAGCCTGTGTAGACACATAGTAACGGAAATTAAAATATGGTTTTTGACGTATTTATTATATTGCTTAGACTGTATTGTAGAATATCCGATCAAACCAAAATGGCAGACCGCATGAAAATTCACTTTCAATGGCTTGCCGGTCATTCTTTTTGTTTTGAACAAATCTAATTTCTAATGAAGAAGATTATGCCATTTTAATTAATCATATTTTTATTCCTTTTAGTTAAAACATCTTTTCTTCTTTTTATGTGCCATGACCTTTCAGGATGTAGGCGATCGTGGCTCTCCACCTCCCTCTGTCCCTTGCTGCTCTCAACAAGATCTTTCCTTTTGCTTCCTCCTCCAGATTACGCTCTGTCATTCACTTGCTTAAGTCTACCAGGTATGGCACGCGTTGTTTTCCCCTGTCTTTTTTTCCTTGTATTCGACCCGTCAGTATCAGATTCTACAGGCCTTCCTTCCTCATTATTTATCCCAGAAAGCTGCCTCTTCCTCCTTATTTGTAACCTCTTTTAGATCTCATCCTTGCTCCTAAGCTCGGTCCATGATATCGTAAGCATCCTTCTATAGAAACACCTCTCTGTCGCCCTGGGTCTCTTCTTCATCTTCGAGGAAATCGTCCAACATTTGCTGCCGTAAGTACAGATGTCACGTAACAGTTCAGTATTCTTTACCTTGTTACCAAAGAATCCTCCTGTTTCACAGTACTCTACCCAACTTTTGGAATGTGTCCTTGTCCATCCCGATACGCATACAGATCTCAGTAGCTCTGTCAAGACGCTTCCCAGGTATTTAAACTTCCGCGTCTATTTGATTCTAGTGTTCCCGACCAGTAGATCGTATTTGCGGGCTCATCCTCTTACTGACGACAACGTCTTCTAGTAGTTTATGCTTAGTTTCTTCATCTTACTCGCCATCGCTACATTTTGTAGGAGATTTGTAATTTCATTTCCGCGTCTGCTATCAGTACTGTGTCATCTGCGTATCTTATGTTGTTAAGATTGTGGCTGCCAAGTTTAAATCCTGGTAGGGTTTTCAATTCTCTCAAGATTGCCGCGCTGTATAGGTTAAACATGTCGGGTGAGAAGACGTATCCTTGCCTTACACCCATTTCTATGCACATGCATGCTGTTTGCCCCCAGTATAGGTTCTAGTTTATTCTGACATCTTTCCCGAATACATCAATGTTGCTGAGCAGTTCCATAAGTTCCTTGTGGCGTTTGACCTTTGCGTAATCTATGAAACATAGGAAACTACAGCCTATATGCGTTTAATCACATCATTTTCATTTTTCTTTTAATTTCTAAATAGAAAGCAGGTCTGTCATAAAATACGATGCGTTTTTTTCCATCATGCTCAATAAACCATCAGAGGCTAGCCTGACGTTTTCCAGTGATTCACCACCGATTGCCACGAGAAATATAATAATATGTGTGACTCGACACTGTAACGGGTGGTGTTGCCTTTTGGAGCAAACATTGTGTCTCGGTCAGATAATTTCTGAGTTGCAAGCAAGCTACTAAAATGAGATTAGGAGCCTCACTTGATATAAATCAATTGATTTATTGTCTATGTCTCGTTCTTAGAAGACAAAAAGACTGTCTTTCCCTCTCCGAATTACCAAATCTTTAGTGGAACAGACCAGCGCCGGCTAGACGCTTGAATAAATTTAGTGGAACAAGTTAACAATAAGACCTGAGGAAATTATAACTTATAGATTAGATCGAAATAGATAATATCTTGTGGGTCGCTCCGGTGGACCGGAAGCGAGTTAGTTTTTATTTTCACTATCATTAGCACAAACGATGACTGGAAATATATCGTAACTGTTTACATGAAGAATATACTAATGTTATTCCGTAGTCCTTTTATGTGGCAATATTCAAACTGTCCATTACTACTTAGATAAAAGATATGATCTATAATATAATATTCAAGCTAGATTACATGGAAGACCTTAGATGCCATTGACGATCTTCTAGATATTTGTATCAACCAATCACATCACATGAAAAAAATGAATCATTATAATATTAAGCATCCTATTTCAGTCATTTTTCTGAACTAGATTTTTGCAGCACATTGACGCATGTTGAAACTCTCACAATATTTAATATTGTTGACGTTATCGCTAGCATTTTTTCGATATTTACATAGTCTACGGTTCGTTCAAAATTCTTTTTCAAAATTATTGTATTAAGCTACACACTCTAGTAAACCCAACTGTACTTCAACATTTCTCCCCCAAAACTAATTTCGATCAATCAATGTATATCAACATTAGAGGGTGTGACGGATAGAGAAACGGCCGAACTGACTAAGCCATAACTTTATATATAGCTTAAAATAAAATAGAATAAAATAAAAAGATGTATAACTGAATAAAACTGAATTTTAAAAATAAGTATAATTTAGAACCATTCTCACATATAAAATATAAATGTTTTCCGACAAGATATCCCCCTTTGCAATCGATATAATCGATAAGCGATATTTCTCTGCAACTGTGATTATATAATTCTGTGCACTCGACTTAATTTCAGTTTGAAAACAGTTGGCACCATTTGCGGTAGAATAAGTCATATAACTTCTTATATCTATTAAAAAATTATTTGTTATTAAAAATCACCAAGCTGGAAATGGAGATTCTTTTATTATTTAATATTTAATGAATTTCAATAAATCATTTATTATTTAATATTTAATGAATTCCCAGCGTGTTTCGATATAAACCAACATACCAGCTATTTCAAAATGAAGCTAAAGTAACCTGATGTGGAAACATGTACCTTTAACTAAACTTGATAAGCTTATAGTATGTAATAAAGTAATCAAATTTTATTTGCCACAAATAATAAAACAGAATTTGAAAATGACTACCACATCATGTTTTTTAAATTTTAAAACACTTCACATAATCGTCCTAGAATTTCTTTCTGCCTTGAAAGATTTTCTCTTATTTTCTGAACAAACTCCATCAGATATATGAATCATATAACCACTGCTACATCAGGATAGCTAACCTGTCGTTTTGTCAAAGTGCTTATATTGATGATAGCAGGTCAATGGATTTTGAAATAAGTCCTTCGTTAAATATTATCATATTTCTTTGTTGGCATTTTTATATTTTTCCCGAAATGTCTTTTCAAATTACAATATTCGAATTTGAGGCTTATATTTCGCGTCAGAAGCAGTTAAACGCTATACAAATAGGTCTACGAAACGTAAATATTGTGAGGAAAGACATGACTTACCTCGAATTTCAAAATGAGTGCGAACGTGTCTTGCCTTCAAAGTAATGAGGAAAAGAAATATGGCCACTATCGAAGACACAATTTATGCGCAATTTATGCGCGCCGGTTTCGTCCAAAACGAGACGATATTCGCACACATGCAAATTTCGGCCGTATCAGACTGGCATAAAAAGCGAGATGCCAGTAACACGATACAGGTGGAGTCATTCGGCGGACTTCGTGCAATAGAAATGGACGTACGAATTGACTGACGGAAAAAGAGGTTGTCGAAGTAGGCGCAGCTGAGTTGGTGTCTATTTCACGACTGCCTGGTGTAAAGGCCGAGAAAGGGAGTCTCGCAATCCATTACCTTGAGGCGACCGACGAGGAAGGCAGAACAGCTGGTCTGCCGGCGAACGGCGCACTGCATTTTCTGATCTCCCGCTCGTCAATTTCTTCTTTTTGTTTACTACAAATATAGTATTGTAATATTGATCTATTAAAGTTTCAAATACGTCAAATAAAGTATGTCGTAAATCGTAACGTTTATTGAGCCAACACATGTACTGAAGATATATCAGTAGCCGTATATTTCTTGTAAGATAACCTGAACTGGCCCATGCCCCTTTAAGCTATTTCTGAGAACACCGTGTTTCCACCTCAAGACAAAAGCACCGGTCATCACTACTTTTTAAATGCAGCTAGTAGAATTGGTTGACAGTGTCGTGCTAGACAGTTTATCTCTCCAGAAACAATTTTACCCACTTATAAGTCTACCATTCGACCATGTATTAAATATTGCTGCCACATGTAGTCTGGTGCTTCTGATATGTATTTAAAGATTCTTGATAAAATATAAAGAATCTACAATGTTATCGGTCCTTACCTGGCATCTCGGTATCAGTCTTTTTCCAAGCTCAGCACCGTAAATTCCCTTTGTCTTTTCTGTAGATATTTTCAGGGTAATTGTTCTGATGAACTTACCTCTGTGGTAGCTGGACTTGATGAATTTAAGCCATATTTCTCAAATGTACTACATTGAGTATTATAACAAAATGGACCATTAATTTTTCGTTGAATCATTGGCGGTTTGTATGTTGCTGTGACACTATTTGTTACTGGTAAATAATAAGGAAGCTGAAAAAATAGCACGACGAATATAGCAATAGACCATCGTGGGGATGACTGAAGATTTTATTTCTAAAAAAGGCCAAGAATCATACAGCTAGCAAAGGAAAAGAATATTCAACTACGACAGGTCATATGGCAAATATTTTGACACTTTATGGATGACAGCTAAAAATACAGACTGTTAAAGCAAGAGGAAAGAATCGGATAGGATTTAAAATCATAATTCGGATATTAGAATTTTCTCAGAGAATGTCCATGACGGGATCCGAAGTGTGTGAAAAGCCGTCTGGCTTGTGTTTCAATTTTGGACAATAAAAAGAATGTGGTTGACGTGGAAAAAAATCTGCGTAGATAACAAACTTGGAATTAATATCTTCTTGCGCCTTTACCCCGAGGCCGTCGACAACAAATTTTTTTTTGGGGGGGTGGCCGAGGTGGCGGACGCAGATGAGACACCAAGATCGTGGAGGAGCTACCCACGCTCCCAAAGGAGTATTACTGAGAGATGGTAATAAGAGAAATTGGAAGTTATGAGAAGGATTAATGCCTGTGACCATCACCCTAGGAAGAGGGGAATTCCCCAAATTAGGAAGTAAATAATTCACAGAACCCAGACAAGGAAATGACAGACAGGAGCGAGGAGAGATCGTTCCAGCCAACGGAAGTGAGACAACCTACAGGAACCTCCGAAATCAGCCTTGTTTCATACTCCACCAAATCAGTAAAACAAACTATCAAGTTAATAAATTATCACGTCTGAATTAAGAAGCGGGTTGGGTCGATAATAATCTGAATTCAGACTACTATACTTTAATAACCATTAACCAATACGATAGACCTTGTCTAAAAGTAGTATTTGTTTTTTATTCGAATCTTATTTATTATTTCTTTGCGTTTTTACCCCGCTCGGACCAGCCTAATATTGACGGCGCTTTGGTCTTGGCCTGCCTTATGATCAAAGAAAATCACAACGTGTGATAGAGCAAGTCCTGTATCGAAACGATCACCTATTCGATCAGTTGTAGCGTGATGGACATCGTGGACGACGAGGGAAATGCGTGAAGGCGACAATCTAATTGACACCATTTTGGTGATAAATAACATTATATTCTTTTAAATATATTATATATTGTAACAAAATGAACCATTAATTTTCGGCTGAAGCATTGGGTGTTTGTATGTATCTAGCTGATACGTTTTTGACGATTATTTTCACACTGTATAAACCATAAGACTATTCAGAAGGATAATATACGGAAATTAAGCAGACTCGCTCGTATGTCTCACGTTGTGTTAAAGAAAAATAAAAGTGTTAAATTATATTCATGTATTCCTTCTCTCCAGTATTCATTGCCGTCCAGCAACAAAGGAAATACATTTGCTTGATCCTTCTGTCTTTTGGGAAATATATATTGCATTTTATTTCACATCACTACTTGGGGAAGAAGAATTTCATTGACGGTCTGGGAATAATAGAAGGTAGTCCGAGAATTGCTAGATAAATTTTCATTTGAATGACCAGATCAGTTTCATTCCCATTTGTCGGCGAAATTATCCCAGGTTATTTTAAAAGTATTCGTCTAATTCGCAAGTAAAATATTCCAAATTTATTCGCTTCCGGCTTTGAAATGTAGCCGTATCTGGCAATTCTATATAGGAGACATTTTATTAATGCTATCTTTATGGTGACAGTTTAAAGTCAAACCATCTTCGTTTATATATGTAGCTAAATTATAATTATATGCTATACATTTTTAAAGTGAACATTTCACGGAAATGTACTGAAATACTTTCAAGTTTACTTCTGAAATCAGGAAAATACGCGTTTTAAGCTAAATATTCAGAAGTTCGGGAAAATAGCGTGTCCATAAAGTTTGTGTGTACTTTTAAGTTATAAATTGTTTAAAGTGCACACGAACTTTAGGGACACATTCTATATAGTTTCAAGCAGCATCATCCTAATATCATTTTAAAATGACAACTTCCTTTTTCTTTTATGTCTAAACTATCGACATCGTTTCATTTATACTTAAGTTTTCGACTTCGCTTTCTTTTATACATAAACTATATAAACTAATTGGTAAAAATAAATATGAATACATATCTGTTATCTGAAAAAATATTAGTTGCGTGGTTGAACATTTGCATGAATCTTATTTCGTCAAGCGCCAGTAATATTATCGGCTCTGACCTTGCATCTCGGAATTATCTTTTTATCCCGCTGCTGTGAACTGGTTTACCACTGCCTTATATATATATATATATATATATATATATATTTTTTTTTCCTTTTTTTTTTTTCCTGTCAGTTTTTCTAATGTGATCTTCTCATTGATACCTCGATCGCATTGAATTCAGTGTACTACTGGATTGGCGATTATGTTTCATCGTTTTGCTTTATAAATAGCTAGGTGTATCTGAAAGTTCTATTCTGGAATATTTTATTTTCTCACATTACTTACCTGTTAAGCTCGTAGCCGATCTCTTGCTTCCTTGCCAACTACAATTGTACAAAAATAAATATCACGCCAGTCGCCATCTTCTATCTTTCTGAACCTGTTCATTTATTGTCCTATACCCAATACAAATGACTTCTCAGTTTATTCGCCTCCCAGTTACTTCTTGCATCTTAGTGTTATTATCGCCTTGATTGAGTGTGAGATGATTAAGACTTATTCAAATATAATTGATAAATTTTAATATTTTTTAATCATTTCACGCCGATAGTGTATTGACTTTCAAACTATGCAAAAAGAAGCGTACCAGTCTCCGATTGTTGTCTTGTTTATATTCATATGTGGACGCTGCGGTTTTATTTTCTATAATAACAAAATATAGTGGCATTCCCCAGGTGGATAGATATAAGGACGATATACTTAATTAGTTTAAATTCGGTAATCAAATGCGATTCTGATAATAGGATGAAAAGTCATTTCAATTATTTGACAACATCTAAAGAAGGGTCTGTAATTTAATCGTTCATAAACAGGCATCTCGGCATCAGTCATATTCTCATTGATGTGACGTGGCTCCTTTCTTTATTATCTACAGTATTTTGATGACAACTCTTCAGCCGAGCTTTTCTTCCCCCGTTGTGCGATGAAATGAATTTAAAACGTGCTACTAGATAAGCAACATTGTCACGCCGACTCAAAGTTGAACTTTATACTTCTCTTCTGTTCTGACCGTTACATTTCGATTTCTTTCTTCCCAGATAAATACAATTTTAAAATATTTAATCCCGACTTGAATCGCCATATTAACTTTACTTGAAATCGTTTCCTTTTGATCCTTTCCTCAATCCTCCCCATTATCAGTCTTCTCGTTCTCTTTCACTTTTATTCATATTAACCCTCTGCATTCTATTACCATTATTGCCTTGCTTGTAGTGAAAAGCTAAAAATTAAAAAAGAAATCATCATCACGCTTGATTTTCACATCTGCGTCTTTACGGATAGCCGGGATCCTTTCCATTTTAATCCGAAGTAGCCTGCGATCGAATCAGAAGAAAATAGTCTGCGAGGGACAGTCATAGTGAAAAGATGTTTCTCACACACGAACTATTTTGAACTCATTTACTCCCAGTCATTGCTGATCCTTTGATGTGTCATATTTGGAATCAACAGGTCCTTTTGTGCAGGAGATTAAATGAATAATGATAGCAGTTCTGTTCATTGTTAACGGAATCAAGCAGGAAAAGACCATCATTCATTCCCGAGGCAATACGCACATTATCTCAAAGACGAAACAGGCTGAAGAGTTTAATAATAGCTAATGTGGCACAAGGTAAAGATTAAAAAAGATCCCGTAAGGATCGAACTCACTATTCAGTCGTAACTGTGTCCAACCAAGAAACCAGTACCGAAGACGAAGCAAGCACCTTTACCAACACGGGAGCAACCCAGGGAGGATGTAACAAAGAGAGCCCCCGGTAGCGAATGGACTGAAGTGGTAAGGAGGAGAGCCAAGGGATCAACTCCACCTCCCCAGCAGGACGTCCAAGATAAGGGTGCTGCCTAACAACTGCAGAAACAGGACGTCCCAGACAAGCCTGCTGCCAAACAGCAACTGAAGCAGGATGTCCCAGACAAGCCTGCTGCCAAACAGCAACTGAAGCATGATATCCCAGACAAGCCTGCTGCCAAACAGCAACTGAAGCAGGATATCCCAGACAAGGATGCTGCCAAACAGCAACTGAAGCAGGATGTCCCAGACAAGCCTGCTGCCAAACAGCAACTGAAGCAGGATGTCCCAGACAAGGATGCTGCCAAACAGCAACTGAAGCAGGATATCCCAGACAAGGATGCTGCCAAACAGCAACTGAAGCAGGATATCCCAGACAAGGATGCTGCCAAACAGCAACTGAAGCAGGATATCCCAGATAAGGATGCAGCCAAACAGCAACTGAAGCAGGATATCCCAGACAAGCCTGCTGCCAAACAGCAACTGAAGCAGGATATCCCAGACAAGGATGCTGCCAAACAGCAACTGAAGCAGGATATCCCAGACAAGGATGCTGCCAAATAGCAACTGAAGCAGGATATCCCAGATAAGGATGCTGCCAAACAGCAACTGAAGCAGGATATCCCAGACAAGGATGCAGCCAAACAGCAACTGAAGCAGGATATCCCAGACAAGGATGCTGCCAAACAGCAACTGAAGCAGGATATCCCAGACAAGGATGCTGCCAAACAGCAACTGAACAGGATATCCCAGATAAGGATGCAGCCAAACAGCAACTGAAGCAGGATATCCCAGACAAGCCTGCTGCCAAACAGCAACTGAAGCAGGATATCCCAGACAAGGATGCTGCCAAACAGCAACTGAATCCAGGATGTCCCAGACAAGGATGCTGCCAAACAGCAACTGAAGCAGGATATCCCAGACAAGGATGCTGCCAAACAGCAACTGAAACAGGATATCCCAGACAAGGATATCCCAGCAACAGGATATGACTGCCAAACAGCAACTGAAGCAGGATATCCCAGATAAGGATGCAGCCAAACAGCAACTGAAGCAGGATATCCCAGACAAGATGATATCCCAGACAAGGATGCCAAACAGCAACTGAAGCAGGATATCCCAGGACAAGGATGCTGCCAAACAGCAACTGAAGCAGGATGTCCCAGGACAAGGATGCTGCCAAACAGCAACTGAAGCAGGATATCCCAGACAAGGATGCTGATATCCCCTGCAACTGAAGCAGGATATCCCAGATAAGGAGACTGAAGCAACTGAAGCAGGATATCCCAGACAAGCCTGCAGCCAAACAGCAACTGAAGCAGGATATCCCAGACAAGGATGCAGCCAAACAGCAACTGAAGCAGGATATCCCAGACAAGCCTGCTGCCAAACAGCAACTGAAGCAGGATATCCCAGACAAGGATGCTGCCAAACAGCAACTGAAGCAGGATGTCCCAGACAAGGATGCTGCCAAACAGCAACTGAAGCAGGATATCCCAGACAAGGATGCTGCCAAACAGCAACTGAAGCAGGATATCCCAGACAAGCCTGCTGCCAAAACAGCAACTGAAGCAGGATATCCCAGACAAGCCTGCTGCCAAACAGCAACTGAAGCAGGATATCCCAGACAAGCCTGCTGCCAAACAGCAACTGAAGCAGGATATCCCAGATAAAGATGCAGCCAAACAGCAACTGAAGCAGGATATCCCAGACAAGCCTGCTGCCAAACAGCAACTGAAGCAGGATTTCCCAGACAAGGATGCTGCCAAACAGCAACTGAAGCAGGATGTCCCAGACAAGGATGCTGCCAAACAGCAACTGAAGCAGGATGTCGCAGACAAGGATGCTGCCAAACAGCAACTGAAGCAGGATATCCCAGACAAGGATGCAGCCAAACAGCAACTGAAGCAGGATATCCCAGACAAGGATGCTGCCAAACAGCAACTGAAGCAGGATATCCCAGACAAGGATGCTGCCAAACAGCAACTGAAGCAGGATGTCCCAGACAAGGATGCTGCCAAACAGCAACTGAAGCAGGATATCCCAGACAAGGATGCTGCCAAACAGCAACTGAAGCAGGATATCCCAGACAAGCCTGCTGCCAAACAGCAACTGAACCAGGATATCCCAGATAAGGATGCAGCCAAACAGCAACTGAAGCAGGATATCCCAGACAAAGCCTGCTGCCAAACAGCAACTGAAGCAGGATATCCCAGACAAGGATGCTGCCAAACAGCAACTGAAGCAGGATGTCCCAGACAAGGATGCTGCCAAACAGCAACTGAAACAGGATATCCCAGACAAGGATGCTGCCAAACAGCAACTGAAGCAGGATATCCAGATAAGACAAGCCTGCAGGATGCCAAACAGCAACTGAAGCAGGATATCCCAGATAAGGATGCAGCCAAACAGCAACTGAAGCAGGATATCCCAGACAAGCCTGCTGCCAAACAGCAACTGAAGCAGGATATCCCAGATAAGGATGCTGCCAAACAACAACTGAAGCAGGATATCCCAGACAAGGATGCTGCCAAACAGCAACTGAAGCAGGATATCCCAGATAAGGATGCAGCCAAACAGCTGAAGCAGGAAGCAGGATATCCCAGATAAGGATGCAGCCAAACAGCAACTGAAGCAGGATATCCCAGACAAGGATGCTTCCAAACAGCAACTGAAGCAGGATATCCCAGACAAGCCTGCTGCCAAACAGCAACTGAAGCAGGATATCCCAGATAAGGATGCAGCCAAACAGCAACTGAAGCAGGATATCCCAGACAAGCCTGCTGCCAAACAGCAACTGAAGCAGGATATCCCAGACAAGGATGCTGCCAAACAGCAACTGAAGCAGGATGTCCCAGACAAGGATGCTGCCAAACAGCAACTGAAGCAGGATATCCCAGACAAGGATGCTGCCAAACAGCAACTGAAGCAGGATATCCCAGACAAGCCTGCTGCCAAACAGCAACTGAAGCAGGATATCCCAGATAAGGATGCAGCCAAACAGCAACTGAAGCAGGATATCCCAGACAAGCCTGCTGCCAAACAGCAACTGAAGCAGGATATCCCAGACAAGGATGCTGCCAAACAGCAACTGAAGCAGGATGTCCCAGACAAGGATGCTGCCAAACAGCAACTGAAGCAGGATATCCCAGACAAGGATGCTGCCAAACATCAACTGAAGCAGGATGTCCCAGACAAGCCTGCTGCCAAACAGCAACTGAAGCAGGATATCCCAGATAAGGATGCAGCCAAACAGCAACTGAAGCAGGATATCCCAGACAAGCCTGCTGCCAAACAGCAACTGAAGCAGGATATCCCAGACAAGGATGCTGCCAAACATCAACTGAAGCATGATATCCCAGACAAGGATGCTGCCAAACAGCAACTGAAGCAGGATATCCCAGACAAGGATGCTGCCAAACAGCAACTGAAGCAGGATATCCCAGACAAGCCTGCTGCCAAACAGCAACTGAAGCAGGATATCCCAAACATAAGGATGCAGCCAAACAGCAACTGAAGCAGGAAGCAGGATATCCCAGACAAGCCTGACTGCCAAACAGCAACTGAAGCAGGATATCCCAGATAAGGATGCTGCCAAACAGCAACTGAAGCAGGATATCCCAGACAAGGATGCTGCCAAACAGCAACTGAAGCAGGATATCCCAGATAAGGATGCAGCCAAACAGCAACTGAAGCAGGATATCCCAGATAAGGATGCTGCCAAACAGCAACTGAAGCAGGATATCCCAGACAAGGATGCTGCCAAAACAGCAACTGAAGCAGGATATCCCAGATAAGGATGCAGCCAAACAGCAACTGAAGCAGGATATCCCAGATAAGGATGCTGCCAAACAGCAACTGAAGCAGGATATCCCAGACAAGGATGCTGCCAAACAGCAACTGAAGCAGGATATCCCAGATAAGGATGCAGCCAAACAGCAACTGAAGCAGGATATCCCAGATAAGGATGCAGCCAAACAGCAACTGAAGCAGGATATCCCAGACAAGGATGCTGCCAAACAGCAACTGAAGCAGGATATCCCAGACAAGGATGCTGCCAAACAGCAACTGAAGCAGGATATCCCAGACAAGGATGCTGCCAAACAGCAACTGAAGCAGGATATCCCAGACAAGGATGCTGCCAAACAGCAACTGAAACAGGATGTCCCAGACAAGGATGCTGCCAAACAGCAACTGAAGCAGGATATCCCAGACAAGGATGCTGCCAAACAGCAACTGAAGCAGGATATCCCAGACAAGGATGCGCCAAACACTGCCAAAACAGCAACTGAAGCAGGATGTCCCAGACAAGGATGCTGCCAAACAGCAACTGAAGCAGGATATCCCAGACAAGGATGCTGCCAAACAGCAACTGAAACAGGATGTCCCAGACAAGGATGCTGCCAAACAGCAACTGAAGCAGGATATCCCAGACAAGGATGCTGCCAAACAGCAACTGAAGCAGGATATCCCAGACAAGGATGCTGCCAAACAGCAACTGAAACAGGATGTCCCAGATAAGGATGCTGCCAAACAGCAACTGAAGCAGGATATCCCAGACAAGGATGCTGCCAAACAGCAACTGAAGCAGGATATCCCAGACAAAGATGCTGCCAAACAGCAACTGAAGCAGGATGTCCCAGACAAGGATGCTGCCAAACAGCAACTGAAGCAGGATATCCCAGACAAGGATGCTGCCAAACAACAGCAGAAACAGGACGTTAAATATTACGCTACGTTTTTAATAATTTCAGCTTATCACATTATAAGGACATTCAGAAAATGAAAAAATGGTATTGCGTCTGTAATGAATTCGAAATGCTGTTTTTTAACTTGGGTTCGAAAAACGGTGATTTATATAGTGATTTGCTAAGCGAAGCTTCGATCTAGTACAAGGCCAAAAGTCCGGAGCAACTAATGAGAATAAAACTCTCTGCTTAGTAATAACTGATCTAGAGAGACAAGCATACTAACCATTACACCAACTCGATGTGATGTTAATTGACTAATCGTAGCTAAGATGTGGCGCAAGGACAAAAGTATGGGACACTCAGTGAGCAACAAACTCATTGCTCAGGCGTAATTGATCTAGCGAGACAGGCTTGCTAGCCATTGCAGCAGGTCGAAGTGTAAGAAGTTGATATATGGATTCTTATGCAAAATAAAAATGAAGTCGTTTAATATACGAGTGTCAGAGTTTCAAAATCACGGCAATTCTTTTTTGTGTTTTTTTTTTAAGAAGATTCACTTTTTTAAAAAATAAGCTTTATAAAATGGATGACTATCGTATTAAGAGAAAGATAATAATCTAGAATATTTGCAACACGCTGATTCGTGTTGAAACACTCAAAATATTTAGTATATTTGAAATTACAAACTCTGTTTTGTTCAATTTCGCAAACCAATCGATGAAATTTGAATAAGCTAATTTATCTGGAAAAATACTTTGAAAAAAAAAAAGTATTTCGCAATTTAGTAATTTCTTCAATTTAATGTAATTTTATAGGACTTCAGTATTTCTAAAGGAAAATTATGTGTTCCTTTTTAACAGCGAAGAGTAATTTTTTAGGATTTCTTTCTGAAGCTATATTACAAAATTTTTGAAATGTTTGGTCTGTTGATATATTTACTGCAAACGCAGGTGGAACTAGAAACTTGATATATAACAAACTTAAAGAAAAGATAAGCAAAATCAATATTACATTTTTTATTAAATAAGCACTTGTTATTTTAACCATTAAATTCTTTTTAAAGAATATTTGGTATGTTAAATAATAAAATTTATTTTCTCCAAAAAATAACGATAATATATTGTATTAAACTACGCACCCTAATAAAACCGACTGTATCTCGTACCCACTTAACTGTGTGCACTTCTCCACAAATTTTGGTTTCAATTGGTCAATTTGTTGCGATTTTAGAGGATGTGACTAACGGACTAACAGAAGTCACAGTATTTTATATATAGAAGACTAGCAACATGGCCCGGAGTTGACCGTGCTTGATTAAAAAATCGTACGACTCATACAGCAATCGCTATCACTTGACTTAAAATATTTTTGCCTTTCCTTGCCTTTAAAGGAGTGCCCTTTGCCGTGCTGATGTTGCTACATGCCTTACTTCTTGCCTATCTCACACTGCAATTTTTTTTCTGAGCTCTATACTAAACATTAAATCTGTTACGAAAAAAGAACTAAACAAAATGAACACAAAACGATCAGCTTTAAAAAAGGACTCGTAACTGGAAAAACCAAATGAAAAAAGAATGTTAACAACAATTACTTTTTCACACCGAACCCAGCTGCGGAATCAGAATCAATGTTGAGTTTAAGCAAGCGAATGAGCCAATTGGAGTAAAGTGCCATGCAGATTTAAATTTTTCCCACTTGCAGCTATCTTTTTTTCCCACTTGCAGCTATCGTTTTTTTTTTTTTGCATGCTACTTAATATTCGTGACAGTCAGCTGTTGGCTCTCACGCTGGCCAATAGAATCTTCCTGCCTATACGTGGCAGACAGCTATAGGCTCTCACTCTGGTCAGTACAAAATGGCCACAGACTACATGAAAACTGCCGTAAAAGCATGAAAAAATCGATTATTTCCACTATCCAGTTGGGAAATGCAAAGTCGGTCTTGGCATTCCCGCTCACTTGGAGCATGCGCATGTACATTTTGGTGCAAATCCGTCGAAAATTGCCGCCGTGAATTCGTTACACACACACAAACACATCCTGCCTTTTATAGATAGATACATGCCTCCGTAACACCTAGTAACTCTTACTAAACGACATATAATTGTGGGGAGACATGGTCACCAGCGTCCTGAATTGACAAAGCACGATGAAGAAGAGGAAAAGTTTTTGATTTTCAAATGGAAGAAATGAGACGACCTCTTCATTTTTGAGGGGACGTGTATGTAGTCTCAGCATCCACCTTTCAGATACTACATTTATTAACGGTTTGGCTCAGAGCTTAAATTATCAGGCAGGTAGAATCGTCATAAATATATATTGAAAGGGATGGATGCAATAAGGATGTCCCGGGTGTATTTCTCTCCAAACATATAATCATTTCATCTTGCCAATTTGCAAATCGAGAATTACTTAATAATTTTAACTTAATCAGACAGGGGTCAAATTAACAACAGACAAAATGATTGCCAAAATAACACAAACGAATTAAAGATTTTTAGTTCTTTCACCACAGTAGACACATTTATTTTCTTTAATTTATTCTGGAGTAAAGTTGATGTATGGGGTCAAATAAGTAGTGTTCTAATTTATTTTCCTAAAAAATTAGTTTGCGAGAAAATTTGGTAAACATCGCTCTCTGTAAGCATTTTTAAAAATTATTTTGTTTATTTGTGTATACCCGCTACGCACATTTTGAGTGGGTGTAGTTATATATCTTGCGCACGCGTGTGAGTTCTTTGTGAGTGTAATGAGGTTTTTGGTCTTGGTTTGCGCATCTGAATGTGTGGCAAAACATTCATGGTAGTTTTTTTGTGTGTGTGTGTGTCTGTGTGTTTGTATGCGTGTGTTTGAACAGATAAAATCCAAAAGAAATTTCACAGATACATTCTTTATGAAAGGGACAGTGTCAGTTAGCATTTCGATAAATAAATAACAGAAAACTGAAACGTTGTTGGTGCTAAATAGAGCGCTCATGAATATTGCAAAGTTTTGAAACAGCGGATCTACCCCAGACGACAGGAATACTAAGAGAACATTCTGTAGTGATGTGAAGATTTCTTTGTGTCCATTTAAAATCACCAGGAAGCCTTCGTTTGGAATGTAGAAAATACTAGTAGTACTGCTCTTTCTACATTGGAAAATAACAATAAGATAACAAATGGGTGGAAAGTTTTCAGACCGACATACATCCCCAAATCAGTATACTAATGTTTGTTAAGAAATACAGATTTTGTGATATAATGTAATGACAAAAGTACACAGGTGTAGGCTTTAAGAAATCTATATTCAACTGAGAATACAAGGTTCATATATAGTGAAATTTTATAGTTCCAGTAAACAGAAAAGAGAAGAGTAACAAAACAAGGGAATATCACTCTTGATTATTCATAGCAATAGCTAAAATTTGCAGCTAAAATGAACGAAAAAATGGAGAATATAAAAAAGTAAAACGATATCTAAAATGATATCTAACCAAATCATATTGCATATGGAGGGCCGTACCAAATTTCGATAGATTCCAAAAGCTCAGCTAATGCTAACATCCAGGAGAGTAACTCATTACACCTTCCAACTCTAACGTTTTACTCTGATTCAAAGTAGAATAATTATATGGAAATAATTATATATAAGTCTTGTAACCTAGGGAACGTTGCTGAATAGAATAATCAAACGAAGGTTGGAAATGAACGATAATATTGAGAATAAAAACAACACGTATAAGATTCGCCAACGGCGTGTAGAATAAGTCGAATTCTAGAAGTGAGTCAAATGAATTCAACAATGAAGATTCTTGGTACATTTCAAAGAAAATCTGTAATGATATCGCTTTAGACAACGTATCTCGTCTTCAACTATTTCCCACCATTGTAGACATATTTTCATGGCAAACGTTCTGATGAGATTTCCTCTTTGATAGATATTTTCTATTCGATTGGAAGCTAGATCTTATCATTTTAACCTACGTTCTATTTTAATAGTTTGTCTTTCTCTGGCACTTTCCGCTTCTGGATTCTTGATTTCTTGTCAAATACGATATTTAAAAGAATTTATCAGTTTCTTTAATTCTTGCTAACTCCTTATGACTTA